TGTCTCAAGCGGGGCGCTGGTTTCAGCACCCCTAAGGGGAGCCGCCAGGGGTGTTTGCACGGGCTCGTTCGCGGCCATTTTGTGGGGATGTCTCAGGCGGCTTGCTTGTTTCTGGGCTCAACATCCTTCGCTTTCGGAGCAGATTTGGAGGATGTCTCGAGCGAGGCGCTCATTTCAGCACCCCTAAGGGGAGCCGCCAGGGGTGTTTGCACGGGCTCGTTCGCGGCCATTTTGTGGGGATGTCTCAGGCTGTTTGCTTGTTTCTGGGCCCAACATCCTTCGCTTGGAGAGCAGATTGTGAGGATGTCTCAGGCGGGGCGCTGGTTTCAGCACCCCTAAGGGGAGCCGCCAGGGGTGGTTGCACGGGCTCGTTCGCGGCCATTTTGTGGGGATGTCTCAGGCGGTTTGCTTGTTTCTGGGCTCAACATCCTTCGCTTGTAGAGCAGATTGTGAGGATGTCTCAGGCGGGGCGCAGGGAGGGGGGGGGGGTTTTCAGCACGCAGCACCCCTAAGGGGCGCCGCCAGGGGTGTTTGCACGGGCTCGTTCGCGGCCATTCTCAGGCGGTTTGCTTGTTTCTGGGCTCAAAATCCTTCGCTTGGAGAGCAGATTGTGAGGATGTCTCAGGCGGGGCGCTGGTTCCAGCACCCCTAAGGGGAGCCGCCAGGGGTGTTTGCACGGGCTCGTTCGCGGCCATTTTGTGGGAATGTCTCAGGCGGTTTGCTTGTTTCTGGGCTCAACATCCTTCGCTTGGAGAGCAGATTGTGAGGATGTCTCAGGCGGGGCGCTGGTTTCAGCACCCCTAAGGGGAGCCGCCAGGGTGGTTGCACGGGCTCGTTCGCGGCCATTTTGTGGGGATGTCTCAGGCGGTTTGCTTGTTTCTGGGCTCAACATCCTTCGCTTGGAAAGCAGATTGTGACGATGTCTCAAGCGGGGCGCTGGTTGCAGCACCCCTATGGGGAGCCGCCAGGGGTGGTTGCACGGGCACGTTCGCGGCCATATTGTGGGGATGTCTCAGGCGGTTCGCTTGTTTCTGGGCTCAACAGGGAGGGAAATGACAGGAACGAAAATGAGGAGGAGGAACAGGAGGAGGAGGAGGAGGCGGGGGATCGTGAGGAAGGGCATGGGGGTGCGGAGGGGGAGGGGGAGCAGGAGGATGAGGAGGAGGAGCAGGAGCAGGAGAAGGGAGGGGGCGGAGGAACAGGAGGAGGAGGAGGAGGAGGGCGCTTTGCTCGAAGGTCCTTGACGCGAGCAGAACGTTTGTTCCGAAGTCCAGGACATATATATGTGTGTATATATATATATATATATGTATTCATAGGGGGTGACTGCGAGGGGGGGGGCGGTGGTTGTGTGCGGGGATCGTTGGAAATGCTCACCGTGGCACTATCCTCCAACATGACATGCACTTATGGCCTTGTGTGGCTAAACGCTCGTCTTACATATCCCACTGCCAACTATCCTACAACATATGCACATGTGGGAAGCTCCAAAGCTACCACGGGCTGAAAAGGGGAAGGCCTGGTAGCTGAGGAGGGGGGATGAAGAGGAAGATGCTCGCATTCAACCGTACTCAAAGCTCACTCTGACTCATATGCAATCACTCGCATTAGGGGTCACTCGTCTTCGTCGGCCCTGTCGCCCACGTGGACGCGCTACTGTAGTCGACCGCTCATGAACAGACGCTCACCACGGCATGACATAAAACATGAGATGCACATATGGGGAGCTCCACGCAGTGAGTAATTCAGGAGGGGAAAACACACAGACACAAGTAATCGTCGACTCCCAGGAATATCTTGGAAAATATGGTTGGGGGGAATACAAAAAACCCAAACATATGGGAAACTACGGGGAATCCTGTTATTTGTGTATATTTATTTGGGTGTCCCGGGGCCCCTTCAGATACGATTGGCCCAGACCCCCGACGTCGTTTTTACTTAACAGCGAAGAACGATAGGTTTCTAGTGGGGTCAAAAGAGAGCATCTTGACTCCCCAGGGAGGTCTGGGCGGCATCCGGACAGGGATCCGCAGAAATCGTTTTAAGCAAACAGTTAAACACTTCGTGGTCTTCGAGGTCCAAGAACTCCACTCCCGGGCCACATTCTGAATGCACGGAGCCAACTGTAGGCCACTTCGTGGTCTTCGAGTTCCCAGAACTCCATTCCTGGGCATGATTTTGAATGCCCGGAGCCAACTGTAGGCCACTTCGTGTTCTTCGAGTTCCCAGAACTCCATTCCCGGGCCACAGGCCACTTCGTGGTCTTCGAGTTCCCAGAATTCCATTCCTGGGCATGATTTTGAATGCCCGGAGCCAACTGTAGGCCTTTTCGTGTTCTTCGAGTTCCCAGAACTCCATTCCCGCGCCACATTTTGAATGCTGAGGCAGGGTGATGCTGAGGCTGAGGCAGGCTGAGGCTGAGGCAGGCTGAGGCTGAGGCCGAGGCTGAAGGCAGACTGAGGCTGAGGCTGAAGCAGGCTGAGGCTGAGGCTGAGGCAGGCTGAGGCTGAGGCTGAGGCTGAGGCAGGCTGATGCTGAGGCAGGCTTAGGCTGAGGCTGAGGCTGATGCAGGCTGAGGCTGAGGCAGGCTGAGGCTGAGGCCGAGGCTGAAGGCAGACTGAGGCTGAGGCTGAAGCAGGCTGAGGCTGAGGCTGAGGCAGGCTGAGGCTGAGGCTGAGGCTGAGGCTGAGGCTGAGGCTGAGGCTGAGGCTGAGGCAGGCTGATGCTGAGGCAGGATGAGGCTGAGGCTGAGGCTGATGCAGGCTGAGGCTGAGGCAGGCTGAGGCTGAGGCCGAGGCTGAAGGCAGACTGAGGCTGAGGCTGAAGCAGGCTGAGGCTGAGGCTGAGGCAGGCTGAGGCTGAGGCTGAGGCAGGCTGATGCTGAGGCAGGCTGAGGCTGAGGCTGAGGCTGATGCATGCTGAGGCTGAGGCAGGCTGAGGCTGAGGCCGAGGCTGAAGGCAGACTGAGGCTGAGGCTGAAGCAGGCTGAGGCTGAGGCTGAGGCAGGCTGAGGCTGAGTCTGAGGCAGGCTGAGGCTGAGGCAGGCTGAGGCTGAGGCTGAGGCTGAGGCAGGCTGAGGCTGAGGCAGGCTGAGGCTGAGGCCGAGGCTGAAGGCAGACTGAGGCTGAGGCTGAAGCAGACTGAGGCTGAGGCTGAGTCAGGCTGAGGCTGAGGCTGAAGCAGGCTGATGCTGAGGCAGGCTGAGGCTGAGGCTGAGGCTGATGCAGGCTGAGGCTGAGGCAGGCTGAGGCTGAGGCCGAGGCTGAAGGCAGACTGAGGCTGAGGCTGAAGCATGCTGAGGCTGAGGCTGAGGCAGGCTGAGGCTGAGGCTGAGGCAGGCTGATGCTGAGGCAGGCTGAGGCTGAGGCTGAGGCTGATCCAGGCTGAGGCTGAGGCAGGCTGAGGCTGAGGCCGAGGCTGCAGGCAGACTGAGGCTGAGGCTGAAGCAGGCTGAGGCTGAGGCAGAGGCAGGCTGAGGCTGAGGCTGAGGCAGGCTGATGCTGGGGCAGGCTGAGGCTGAGGCTGAGGCTGATGCAGGCTGAGGCTGAGGCAGGCTGAGGCTGAGGCCGAGGCTGAAGGCAGACTGAGGCTGAGGCTGAAGCAGACTGAGGCTGAGGCTGAGGCAGGCTGAGTCTGAGGCTGAAGCAGGCTGATGCTGAGGCAGGCTGAGGCTGAGGCTGAGGCTGATGCAGGCTGAGGCTGAGGCAGCCTGAGGCTGAGGCTGAGGCTGAAGGCAGACTGAGGCTGAGGCTGAAGCAGGCTGAGGCTGAGGCTGAGGCAGGCTGAGGCTGAGGCTGAGGCAGGCTGAGGCTGAGGCTGAGGCAGGCGGATGCTGAGGCTGAGGCTGAGGCCGAGGCTGAAGGCAAACTGAGGCTGAGGCTGAGTGAGGCTGATGCTGATGCAGGCTGAGGCTGAGGCTGAGGCTGATGCAGGCTGAGGCTGAGGCATGCTGAGGCTGAGGCCGAGGCTGAAGGCAGACTGAGGCTGAGGCTGAAGCAGGCTGAGGCTGAGGCTGAGGCAGGCTGAGGCTGAGGCTGAGGCAGGCTGATGCTGAGGCAGGCTGAGGCTGAGGCTGAGGCTGATGCAGGCTGATGCTGAGGCAGGCTGAGGCTGAGGCCGAGGCCGACGGCAGGCTGAGGCCGAGGCTGAAGCAGGCTGAGGCTGAGGCAGAGACAGGCTGAGGCTGAGGCTGAGGCAGGCTGATGCTGAGGCAGGCTGAGGCTGAGGCTGAGGCTGATGCAGGCTGAGGCTGAGGCAGGCTGAGGCTGAGGCCGAGGCTGAAGGCAGAGTGATGCTGAGGCTGAAGCAGGCTGAGGCTGAGGCTGAGGCAGGCTGAGGCTCATGCAGGCTGAGGCTGAGGCTGAGGCTGTGACTGCGACTGCCGTTGCCCACTGTCATCGCGAATGCGACTACGACTGCGAGAACAGCAGAATTCTACAACTAGATTCTCATCTGAATCTTAAGGGGCATGCTTCCAGATATGCTCCTACACATCGCTGTTAGATTGCTTTGCCGGGATAATTTTTCACACTGTCGACCCCCCGAGGTCTGGACCCCTTCCTCGGGACTGGTTTTTCATCCCGAGTCGTGTTCTGACGGTCCCGAGGCCCGGGAATGGCCTCCAGAGGCCGAGAATACGGAAACACTTCGCGTGATGATTTTCTCGTTGCCCGAGGGGCTCTGGGTCTTGATCGGAGGTGGATAGACCTCCTACCCTGACACGTCGATCAGTGAATTGGCCGTTCTTGGTTCGCGAGAGGGCGTCGCGGCCGTCAGTTTTGCGGGCCCAGGTCCGTCGGTTTCGGCCCCAGGCCGTTTTCACGAAAGGGAGGTTTGCTAAAGGGAGGTTTGTCCACCGCCGACTTGAGGGCCCCAGAGGTCTGGACCCCTTCCCCGGGACGGGTTTTTCCTCCCGAGGCGTATTCTGACGCTCCCGAGGCCCGGGAAGGGCCTCCAGAGGCCGAGCATGCGGAAATCAAGCCTCCCGTGATGATTTTCTCATGGCCCGAGGGGCTCTGGGCCTCGAGGGCAGGGGCGAGCTATCGAGGCTGGTTACAGGCGCGGCCGCGCGGAGCTGGGCCTCGCCGCGGCCCAGCCGCCGGCCCCCGGGCGCGGAGGTGTTCCTCGTGGGGCGCGCGCCGGCCGGCGGCGGCGCCCTGGGACTCCGCGGGGACGTGGACCTGGGGTGCTCCTGGAGTGCCGTTTTTAATGCATGCTCCGCGTGCGGATCGTGTATTAAAGATGCGGGGATTTGGTATTGAAAACAAGGATGAGTTCATGCAGAAGTCTATTCATACATTGATCATGTATTGCAACTCCTACATGTTTACAGATCCTAGACTTTGGAGGGCCAAGCCTGTCCCCATACAGGGGGATTTTCGACGAAAAAAAGTACCCCCCCAAGGGTCAAACAATATGCAAAAAATAGTCCCCAGACCATTGGAGGGCCAAGCCTGCCTGCTTTCAGAAGACCAACATCTGGGGCCGATACCAAATACCGTTCCCACGTGCTGGCCGAAAGCGTCTATGGACACATTGGGTGCCATGACGTCCGTAGACACTTTCAGGGTGGATAAGTCTATGGACAACGTGGCCGTTGCGTTCGGCGCGGTGCAAGGTCGGAGAAAGAATAGATCCGTCCACGGTATCTTCCTGTTCTAGAGCAGGTCACACATGGCACTCCAACCTGGGCTCAGAGGATGAGGAGGAGGAGGAGGAGGAGGAGGAGGAGGAGGAGGAGGAGGAGGAGGAGGTGCTCTTATCGGCGGCGAGCGAGGGGGGAAAGTGAGAAGGAGAAGGCCCTTTCAGAAGGCGGCGGGACTTCTCAGACGCCCTCGCGCCTTCTGAGCAGTTTTCAGTGTCTTCGGGGAAGGCTTAGACAACTTCTCGGAAGGCCGGGGGACTTCCGAGCCTTTTGGGAAGGCCCGCCCCTTCTCACCTCCCCCCTGGGCTCGTCGCCGATCTTAGACTTGGGGGAGGAATGGGTTTTCGAATGTTTTCGTCGGTTCTCGGCGGTCTTCCAGCCTCGGGATGCTCTCCAGTGGCTGCGCCGCGCCGAACGATCTATATGCACCGTACCGTGGCCACCTCCATGGTGCATTTTTCATGGTTGCCGATTTGCGCATGATAGTGGTGCAGGGTTCGTGGACTGATTGGCGCCCGCGTCCGCGCACTTGGATGTCCTCGCGGGGTCCGGCGGTTTCGCGGGTGAAGGGTCAGAAAGATTTCTCTGAGAGGCCTCGCCATAGGTAGGTCTCCGGGCGGTACGGTGCATGGTTTTTGTTCTTCTTAGAGAACAGAAGTTATGCACTGTACAGCGTTTGGTTTTCATCGGTGGCCTTAGAATTGGCCGTAGAGTCTTCTCGTCGGCCCTTCTGGTCCGAGTGGGAGGGGTGCGCTTCTTCATTGGGCTCGCAAGTGGGCGTGTCGACGCAATCGACACTCGGCGATGCCAGGGAGCCCCCTGAAGTTTCGTGGCTCGGTACGGTGATTAGGAAGTCGTCCGCGTGTGCCCGGATCGTCCCGATCGGCCGCCGGAGAGCCGAGTTATGTTCCGAAAACCATGGGATCGGCGTCACCACAACATACTTATATTTTATGTGCGTCGCCCCTAGAGGGGCGACGCGCGCACCGAGAAATCTTACAGTATATGCGTCGTGGCGGGCGCTTTCTGGCCACACCGCTCGGGAAACGATCTACTACAAGATGGGGGTATACTACAGGTTTGCGTCGGACGCGCGCCTCCAAGGAGAGCGTGCAGTACCAGCATGTCTGTGCGCGTCCCAAGGGAGGCAGAGGAGGAAGAGGTGCCAACACCGGCCCCTGCCCCGTCTTCGCTCGTCGGAGCCAGCTGGGAGGCCCCCGTGGCCGCGGCCGGATCCGCCTCGAGGTCCTGGTCCGAGCGGGGCCCGGGAGAGGTCCGGGGGAGTGGCGGTATCGATTCCTTTTGATCCCCGCGCAGGCCTCCCAGAGGAGGTCCGCGCAGATAGAGTCGGTGGATCGCGCCGCATCGCCGATGCATTCCCAACACGGGCGGCTCGATGTGGAGCCCGATCTTCTCCACGACGCCGTGGTCGAGACATAGCCGACGTCGCCGCCTGCGCACTCGTCGTTGCCTGCCTGCTTCTCCCCTCCTCGTCCCCCCTCCTGCCGGCCAGCACAGCCTGCCTGGGGCCAGCGCGGCGGCGCGTAGGGCTCTGTCAGCAGACGCCCTGACCAAGCTGGTCGGGGAATCCTGGTTAAGGGATCATGAGTAAGGAACCCTGGAGGACGTGGAGGAGGAGGAGGAGGAGAAGGAGGAGGAGCAGGAGGAGGAGGAGGAGGAGGAGGAGGAGGAGGAGGAGGAGGAGGAGGAGGAGGAGGAGGAGGCGCGATCCTCCCACTTCATCTGCTCGGACCCCAGTTGGGAGGCCTCTCGAGGTACCGGCACGCGGCCCTGCGCGTGCTGAACCTGTGGCACTACCTCGCGACCCACCACTCGGGCAGCTGCTCGTGGTTCGCCATGGCGGACGCCGACACGCTGCTCAACCTGTGGGCCGTCGGCGAGAGGCTGCGGAGGTTCGACGTGGAAGAAGCACGGGCTCGCGGACGCTTTCGTCGGGTCTCGGGGGTTTCCGGTTTGTCTCGGGATGCCTCCCAGCAGCTGCGCCTCGTCGAGGGCTCTCTGGGTGTGCCCGGATCGTCCCGACCAGCAGCCGAAGGGCCGAAGGTTTTAGTTATGACCCGAAACATTTTGGACACGGCGCGCGCGCGCGACTGGCCACGACCAAGATGTCGCGGGACCTTGTCGACGCCGATCTGCCGGCCGTCGCCGATTTGCGAGGACGATCCACGAGCTGGCGATGGGTGGTGACCGAGAACAGCACCGTTTCCCCGTTCAGTCTTGGTCATGGTCATCGCTGCCTTCCCCTCCAGAGGTACTTCCGCCCATCGAGGAGGCACTACCTCGGCGTCCCCAAGGCTTGGGGGAGAGCAGGCTGCATGGGCATACACCCATGGAGGTCTGCGCGGACGTCTTGGATCGATGCCGAGCCCCCCTCCCGGCGCGCGCGGCGAGCTCCAGGGGGAGCCCATCGCCGCTCCAGGGGATCCGCGCAGACCTCCGATGCGGATTTTGCCGCGGCAAGACTTCTTCCCATCGGCGGGGAGCTGCCGAGGGGGATCTCCCTCTTCCTTGTCCTCCAAGGAGGAGGAGGAAGGAGGAGGTTAGGATGCAGAGGATGAGGAGTAAGGAGGAGGCATGAGGATGAGCAGAGGTGAATTATAGTAGGAGGAGAGCAGGAGGAGGAAAGGAATGGCACTAGAAGGAGGAGGAGGAGGAGGAGATGAGGAGGATGAGGAGGATGATGATGATGGTCGGAGGCTAGGAAGGAGGAGGAGGAGGAGGAGGAGGAGGAGGTGTGATCCCTACGTTGTGCCGCCCACCACGCCACCTCGGCCCTCGTTCACGGCTTCCGCTCGTGCCGTGGCCCCCTCGTCGCTTCCTGCGTCGAGCTCTGGCCCCACTTGCAGATGCGGCTAGCGACGACCCACCCCTCTGACGCTGGCCTCCTCCAAACGTGCGATGTCTTATCTTTTTCAGCACGGGGCTCCCGGAAATCCCGACCCCTTCCTTCCCCAGAGCCAGCTTTTCAGCCCGGGTCGTTCTAGACGGTCCCGGACCCGTATATCTATGCTCTGTGCATATCTATACATGTATGAATCTGCATTATCTCTCTCTCTCTCTATGTGTGTGTGTGTGTGTGTGTGTGCGTGTGTATGGCCATGTCTGCATGTATACATGCATGCATGCATGTATGTTTGTATGCATATATGTATGAACTTATGCATGTATGTATGTGTATGCATGTCTGCATATATGCATGCGTGCATGTCTGTACGTCTGTCTGTCTGTCTGTCTGTCTGTCTGTCTGTCTGTCTGTCTGTCTGTATGTATGTATGTATGTATGTATGTATGTATGTATGTATGTATGCATGCGCATTCACGTGTATGCATGTATGCATGCATGCATGTATGCATGTATGTATGCGTGTATGCATGTATACCAGTATGCATTTACGCATATATGCATGCATGCATGTATTTATGCACGTGTGTATGCATGCATGTACACATGTATGTACGTATGCACGTATGCAGTTGTGTGTGCACGTACTATGCATGTATGTAATATTGTGTGTGTAGGTATGCATATATGTATGTACCTACGTATGTATGCTTGTAATCATGTATGTGTGTATGCATGTATGACTGTATGTGCGTATGCATGGTAGTATGTATGCATGCATGTATGTATGTATGTATGTTTGTATGTATGCATGCATGCATGTATGTATGTATGTATGTATGTATGCATGCATGTATGTAGTGTGTGCGTGCTTGTATGTAAGTATGTATGTATGTATGCATGCATGCAGGTCATGTATGTATGTATGTATGTATGTATGTATGTCTGTATGTATAGACGTGCATGTCTGAATGTACGTACGTACGTATGCCTGTATATCTGCATATACGTATGTGTATGTTGTTGTGTATGTGTATGTGTATGTGTATGTGTACGTGTATGTGTATGTGTTTGGGTTTGTGTATGTGTATGTGTATTTGTATGTATGCGTCTATGTATGTGTATTTGTATATGTACGTGTATGTGCATGTGTATGTGCATGTGTATGTATATGTGTAGGTGTAAATGTATGTGTATGTGTTTGTGTATGTGTGTGTATGTGTATGCATGTGTGCATTTTTGTATGTAGGTATGCATGCTTGCCTGTATGTATGCATGCATGTATATATGTATGTATGTATGTATGTATGTATGTATGTATGTATGCATGTATGCATGCATGCATGTATGTATGTATGTATGTATGTTTGTATGTATGTATGTATGTATGTATGTATGTATGCATGTCTATACACACATGTGTGTGTGTATATATGTATATATTCCCTTTTTCTTGGGGGGGGGGGGGGGCAATCTGGGACCCTGCGATCCCCCCTCTGAACGGGAATTCCGGATCCCTGGCCCCGGGGCCCCCCTGGACGCTCTTGCAGAATGTTCCCCGGGCTTTCGGGAGCTCCTGGGGTCCCTGCTGAGCCCAGGCAGCGCGCCCAAGTCAGTCAGAAGGGCGGCCGAACAGCCCCCCGATGCGCCAAGAGGCCCCAAACACCCATCCGGCGCCCGAAGACGACCCAAGAAGCTTGCAAAATGTAGAAAAACAGTAATACCCCACTGTTTTTGCATGATTTTGGGAATGCTTTGTTCTTCGGTCTTCCAGGCGTCCGAGACCGCCCAAGAGGCCCGACAATCATGCCAAAACTACCCGAAAGGGCTTCCAGGCAGTCCAAGAGGCCGCCGAAACGGCCCAACAGGGCTCCAAGGTGGCCAGAGGAGAGCCCAATGACGGCCCAAGATGGCCCCAAGATGCCCCCCCAAACATTCCAAAGCGTGACCCGGTCGTTCAGGGAGACCGCACTGCAAGCAGGGTGACCCGAGGAAGCCCCAAGAGTCCCCCCGAAGGCGCCCAGGAGGCCTCCAGAAGGCCCCCAAAGCCATGTACAATTTTCGTGAGGCCCCCGAGAAGCTCTCCTAAGATGAGCCTCCGCAAAAAGAGCAGAGGAGTATGGGGAAGAATTCGCAGGGGAGGGCGAGAATGAGGAAGAGGAAGAGGAAACATGAGGGAAGGATGACGAATGGCATCATTATGACGACGATGTCGATGTCGGACAAGGCAACGAGGAGGTATCGATGTTGTTTCTGCTTTACCTTCCTGCCCCTCCACCGCGACTACCGCCTGCACGCCAAACTTCAAGGACCAGGGTACATGGCGCGAAGCGCCAGTGCAGTCTTATATCTATATCTATATCTATATATGTATGCATGTATGCATGTATGCATATATGCATACATGCATGCATGCATGCATGTCTGTATGTATGCATGCATGTATGTATGTATGTATGTGTATGTATGTATGTATGTGTATGTGTGTGTGTATGTTTGTATGTATGTCTATCTGTCTGCCTGTCTGTCTGTATGTACGTATGCATGTATGTATTTATGTATGCATGCATGCATGTATGTATGTAGGGACGTGTGTGTGTATATATATATACACGTATATATATATGTATGCATGTATATATATACACATATATATGCATATTTATCTATCTACCCATGTATGTATGTAATGTATGTATGTATGTATGTATGTAGGTATGTATGTATAGTTATGCATGCATATGCAGTGGGGGCCCATGCCAAGAAACACCCTGCTTGCCTCCAGGGTGCTCTGGGTTCCTTGGGTTTCGATGGTGCTGCTGTGGAAAGCGTGACGTTCCCACACCAAAAGTCAATGGACCTCCTTGTGTCTCAGGTTTGGCTTTCTTGTGGACGGTTTCTTGCAGACTGGTCCCCTACGGTATAGATATACACATGTTTACGAACACACACACATATACATACATACGTATATGTATGTATGTATGCATGTATGTATGTATGCATGTATGTATGCATGCATGCATGCATGTATGCATGTATGTATGTATGCGTATGTATACGTGCATGTGTATGTATGGCATTAGTATGTATGCGTATGTATCGTGCATGTGTATGTATATGTATCATGTATAATAATATGTATATATGTATGTAAGCATGTATGTATGTAGGGTATGGTATGTATGGATGCATGCATGTATGTATGTATGTATGTATTATGCATGTATGTAATATATTTTATCGCTACTGTATGTCCGTACGTACGTACGTACATACGTAACTTTACGTACATGCATGTTGCGCATGCATGCATGCATGTATGTATGTATGTATGCATGCATGCCATGCATTCATGCATGTATGTATGTATGTATGTATCCATTTATATCTATACACATATATATATATATAGAGAGAGAGAGAGAGAGAGAGAGAGAGAGAGAGAGAGAGAAAGAGAGAGGGCCTTCAGAGTCCACACTTGGCCAACAGAGACCTCCCGTCGTGACCCCGTCACGACGCGAGCCACGTCTGGGCCCACCAGGTGGCCCAGGGCCCCCAGACGCGGCTCCGCTTCGCCCAGAACGTGGCGGTCCTCAGCCGCGCGCTCCTCCGCGAGGCCCTGCCCACGCGCAGAAAGGGTGTGGGGGGGGAAGGAGGGAAGGCAGGGTGGGGGGGGGGAAGGAGGGAAGGCATCTTAGAACTAAGTCGGGCATGTCCCTCTACAGGAGGAATTTTCAAACACTCGAACAAATAGTCTGGGGGCGATTTTCTGATTAGTTTGAGCATTTGGGGGTATTTCCCAACCATCCTGTGGTGTTGGGCCCTCGTTTTGAAGAGACTGCGCCCCGCGTTCTCCTCCTCCAGCCTCCCTCCCCCTCCTCCCCCTCCTCCCTCCTCCTTGCGTTTCACCCACCCAGCACAGCGTTTCGTGGCCCGATCGGGAGCTCCACCGAAGGCCCCAGTGCCGTCGCCCGCATGCGTCCCGCACACCCCGTTCGGCACACCCCTCACACGTTTCGTGGCCCCACAGGAAGCTCCACCGAAGGCCCCAGCGGCACCGCCCGCATGCGTCATCCTCCACCCAGTACAGGGTTTCGTGGCCCCATAGGGAGCTCCGCCGAATGCCCCAGTGGCACCGCCCGCATGCGGTACCCCCACACAGTACAGCGCTTCGTGGCCCCGCAGGGAGCTCCGCCGAAGGCAACAGCGGCACCGCCCGCATGCGTCACCCCCCACTCAGTGCAGCTTTTCGTGGCCCGATTCGGAGCTACACCGGAGGCCCCACTGGCACCGCCCGCATGCGTCACCCCCCACCCAGTACAGCGTTTCGTGGCCCCATAGGGAGCTCCACCGAAGGCCCCAGGCACCGCCCGCATGCGTCACACCCACCCAGTGCAGCGTTTCGTGGCCCCATCAGGAGCTACACCGAAGGCCACAATGGCACCGCCCGCATGCGTCACCCCCCACCCGTACAGCGGGCAGCTTGCCTCGTGCCGCGCGGCAGGGAGCTCGCCCCGAGGCCAGCAAGTGGCCAACCGCCCGCATGCGTCACCCACACCGCACGCAGCGCGTCGTGGACCACAGGGAGCGCTCCGCCGAAGGCCCCAGTGCCACCGCGCGCATTGCCGTCACTCCCACTCAGTACAGCGTTTCGTGGCCACATAGGGACTCCACCGAAGGCCCCAATGGCACAACCAGACACAGAAGAGAAAGAGACCCTAAACCCCCCGCCCTACACGTCTTCGTGGCCCCACAGAAGCTCCACCGAAGGCCGCAGTGGCACCGCCCGCATTCTTCACCCCCCCGCGCCAGTTGGGGTGCAAGCGTTTCGTGGCCCATAGGAGGCGCTCCGCCAAGGCCTCAGGTGGCAACCGGCCCGCATTCGTCACCCCCCACCCATTAACGCGCTTCGTGGCCCCATAGGGAGCTCCACCGAAGGCCTCAGTGACACCCCCAGTGACACCACCCGCATGCGTCACCCCCACCCAGTACAGTGTTTCGTGGCCCCATAGGAGCTCCACCGAAGGCCCCAGTGGCACCGCCCGCATGTTGTACCCCCACCGTGCAGCGTTTCGTGGCCCCACAGGGAGCTCCACCGAAAGCCCCAGTGGATGCACTCGCATGCGTTACCCCCGCCCAGTGCAGCGCTTCGTGGCCCCACAGGGAGCTCCAACGAAGGCCCCAGTGGCGGTGTTTGCATGCGTTCCCTCCACCCAGCACAACGCTTCGTGGCCTCATTGGGAGCTGCACCGAAGGCCCTGGTGGCTGTACTCGCATGCGTTTTCCCACCGGGCCCCATAGGGAGCTCCACCGAAGGCCCCAATGGCGGCCTCGTCCCATTGCGGCGCACCCCACACTTTTCGCGGCCCCGTAGTGTGGTCCGCCTAAAAGCACCAATGGCAGCGCCTACATGGCGGCCCCGCCCCACATCGGCACACCCTTCGCATGCTTCATGGCCCCATGAGGAGATCCCCCGAAGGCGATACCCGCAACGACGGCACTCACAACTGCATGTGGTTGGGTTCTTCGCCAGGATAGTTTTTGATTATTGTGAAGGCCTGACGGCCGGTGCCGCTGACATTGAAAGACATCGACGACGACCAGGAGGGGGAGGTGGAGGAAAAGGAAGAGGAGGAGGAGGAGGAGGCGGAGATAAGGATGATGATGATGATGATGATGATGATGATGATGATGATGATGATGATGATGATGATGATGATGATGATGAGGAGGAGGAGGAGTGTTGTGAGGAGGAGGAGGAGGAGAGGAGGAGAGGAGGAGGAGGAGAGGAGGAGGAGGAGGAGGAGGATGTATGATGATGTGATGGTGGTGGTGATGATGATGATGCGCTTGGCTGATGGCGATGATGTTATGAATGAGGATGGGGATGATGAGATGATGATGATGATGATAAAGCTGCTGATAGATAGTTATGATGATGATGATGAGCATGAGGTGATGATGAGATGATGATGATGATGTACTGATGATGTACATGATCGATGATGATGATGATATGATGAGGAGAGAGGGAGGAGGAGAGAGTAGGGAGGAGAGGTAAGGAGGAGGAGGAGGAGGAGGAGGAGGAGCAGGACCCCCCCCCCCTGACCGGACGAGGACCGGCGTGGGAGAGGGGAGGGGAGGGGGAGGGGGACCCCCAGGGAAGGATGCGTACCTGACTCCTCTCCCCACCCCTGTGACTTCTCCCCTCCTGGGGAGGAGGACCCGAGGAGGACCAGCGCGCCGGAGAAGGACCGGCGTGGGAGAGGAGGACCCCCAGAGGCGATGCGAATCTGACCGCCTTTCTCCCTCAGGACCTCCCCTCCCCCGCTGGGGAAGGGACAAAGGGAAGGGGCTTCCCTTTGACGTAATGAGGACGTGGATGGGATTCTTTTAAGCTGCGAGCCCGTTCCGCAAACGAGGAAGGGGGCTCTCCCTCTGTTTCCCCCGACGGGAGAGGAGGATGGGAAGGAGGGGACGAACGAAGGGTCCCCGTCGACGGGACCAGACAGACACCCCACACATGCCGACATGGTCGGCGGATTTTTCTTCCGGCCAAAATCCGCCTGTAAGGGGACATGCCCGACCTAAGGGAAGGGGGGAAGGCATCTTAGAAGCACCCCTGCTTCTTAGAAGGCGCGGGCCTTCTGTATAGATACAGGGCTGGCGCCTTGTACAGTGGGGGCCCGTGCCAAGAAGCACCCTGCTCTTGCCTCCAGGGTGCCCTGGGTTTCTTGGGTTTCGATGGTTTTGCCGTAGAAAGCGCGACGTTCCCACGCCAAATATCAATGGGTGTCTTCGGATTTCAGGGTTCGGTTTCTTGCGGAAGGTTTCTTGTGGACTGGCCTCCACTGTAAGAGGCCTCCCCCTCCCCCTACCCCCCTGCGCGCTCCTCCGCGAGGCGGCGCCCTGGCTGCGCGCCTGCGCGGCCGAGCTGACCTCGCGCGGTTTGGGCCGCGGCCACGGCGACGTCGCGCTGGCGAGCTGCCTGCGCCGCCGCGGCGGCGTGCCCGTGCGCAGGCTCGGCGCGGGCTCCGAGGCGGCCTCCTCACTCTCCGTCGCTCCGTGCACTGCCGTCGCTCTGCTCCACCTCGCTGCGTGTGTCGTCGCCCTGCCCGCTCGCTGGCCTGGTCCTCCTGGTCCTCCTCCTCCTCCTCTCCTCTCCTCCTTCCCCTCCTGCCTCCTGCTCCTCCTGTACCTCCTCTTATCCTCCTCTTATCTCCTCCTCCTCCTCCTCTACCTCCTCCTCCTCCTCCTCCTCCTTCGTTCCGCCTCCTTGCTCCCCCTCCTCGCTCCGCCTCCTCCTCCTCGTCTCCTCCTCCTCCTCACCCTGTCCTCGTTCTCCTCCGCGTTCTCTCCTCCTCCTCCGCCTCCAATCCTCCCTCCTCCCTCCTTCCTCCTTCTCCTCCTCCTCCTCCTCCTCTCCCCCTTCTCCTCCCCAGCCTGCCTCCTCCACCTCTGTTCCTCTTTCTCCTCCTCCTCCTCCTCCTGCTCGCCCTCCTCCTCCACCTCCTTACCTCCTTCCTCCTCCCCTTATCCTCTCCTCCTCCTCCCTCCTCCTCTCTCGCGTCCGCATCCTCCCCTTCCTCGGTCTCCTCCTCCTCCTCTCCTCCTCCTCACCCTCCTGCTCTCACTCCACCCTGTCCTCCTTGTCTCCTCCCTCCCCTCCTCTCTCCTCCTCCTCCTCCTCCTCCTCCTCCTCCTCCATCCTCCCCACTACTTTACTCTCTTCTCCTCTCCTCCTGCCTCTTCCTCCTCCTCCTCCTCCTCCTCCTCCTCCTCTCCTAGCCACTCCTCCTCCCTCCTCTTTCTCCTCCCCCTCCGAGGTGGCCTCCGGGGGGCTGGCCGCGCCAGGGCCGCGCGGGGGGTACCGGCGCGCTGGCGCGTGCCTGCTCTCGGGTGCCGCCAAGGGTGTTCCCGGATGGCCAGGCGTCGCATTTTCTCACGATGGGACACCTCGCCCGCTTTCACACGCAAGGTACTGCTCCAGGGCAGTCTTTAATACATAGGATTTTTGGAAATATAGGGATTTTGCAACATGAGCAATTTATGAATACATTTATGCATGAGCTCATCGTTGTTTTTAATACTAAATCCCTGCATTTTTAATTCATGATCCGCACGCGGAGCATGTATTAAAGACGGTGTATATACCCATTCGGTCGTTTTCGCCTCTCTGGGCCTCCTGGGAGGCCCTCGTCGCGACGACTGGATTCGCCTCGGAGTTGTGGTCAGAGCGCGCCCCGGGAGAGGGCAGCGGATTGGCGGTGTCTGTACCTTGCGGTTTCCCCAGGTTTGGTATTGCCCTGAGATCCAGGCGTGGCAGTTTTTTCACACCGGGACTCTTCGCCTAGTTTCGGGCCCCAGGACCCTCAGAGGCCGAACTGGCCCGAAAAATGGGGATGCAACGTGGGGTCTAGGGCCCAGGGCTCCAGCTGTGATTTTTCGCGATGTTGTACTTTCTTGCAACGTCGGGTCTGAGGCTGCGGCTGCGCGTGAGAGTGGTGACCTTTCGCCAGAGTGACCTTTGCTTGGTGCGGGCCCACGGGGGCCCCGCGCAATCGGGTTTGCTCCCCGCCCTCCCCCCCCCCGCGACCCCCCCTTGTGGCGGGGTCCGCCACCTACGTCGACCTCTTCGAGACGAGCGGCAGGCAAGGACCTGCTGCCTGCTTGCCGCCCAAGGAGGAGGCAGGCCTTTCAGGATGAGGATGACTTGCCCCCCCGCTGCGCTGTGCTCCCCCCCGCGACCCCCTCAAACTGAGACCCCCTCAGATTTTTGCCTGTGGTCACTCTTGCGTGTAGCCGAGGTGTGCCCGGCCAACCCAGGGCATAATGGCAATCTCAGAGCATCAGGAGTCGACAGCGATCTTCTTGTCAAGCAGGGCGCTGGTTCACTGGAAGAGTGCCGGATTCGAGCCGAATGCGGCAGTGACGAACGGATCGATGAGGCATGCAAGGGGGCTGACACGCGGGAGAACTGGGGAGCGGGGCGTGCGTGGCGTCAGCAGTCTCAGGAGGGGAGAAACACACAAAATGAATCGGCGATTCCCAGGAAGATATCGGAAAACATGGGAAGTGGGGGGAAGACGAAAACTTAGAACATATGGGAAAATGCGGAGAACGCTGGGGCTTGGGTCCTGTTTATTTGCGTGTCCCAGGGCCCTTTACAGTCCTTTGCTCCTCTCTCCCTGCGCGCGCACTGCGCGGGGTGCGGGGGTGCCCCGGAGGGTCTTCTGGGAGGCCCCTGAGCCCCTCGCCGAGGCCCCGAGTGCCCCAGGGTCTAAGGTTAAGTCGGGCATGTCCTTCTACAGGGGGAATATTCAAGCAGAGTCAAAACATAGTATGGGGATCGACTACTCCTGATGATTTTTGCGCATTTGTTTTGGCCATTTTTGTTGTTTTTCGCCCACAGCACCTAACCCCAGGGTTATGATGTTCCAGCCTACTTTAGCCTTGACCACCAGAAATCATAAATGTCGAGCACCAAAAAAGTACCGAAACTCGAGGGTGTTCGCGTGTCGGGCCCTGGGAGACACTCGTCCGACACTGTTTCGACACTGTTTCGACACTTTTCGACACTTTTCCGGGTGCTCGAAATTATTTTTGGGATGTGGTCCGTAAGTACGATTGGAGCAACATGACTGTAGGAGGACATGCCCAACCGAACCCCAGGGTCTAAGATTAAGTCGGGCCTGTCCCTCTACAGGAGGAACAGCAAATCATCCTGGCGAAGGACCCAACCATATGCAATTGTGAATACTGCAATTGTGAATATCTTCTCGGTGGAGCCCCCTACGGGGCCACGAAACGTACGAGGGGTGTGCCGAAATGGGTGTGCGGGACGCATGCGGGCACACCCATTGGGGCCTTCGGTGGAGCTCCCTATGGGGCCACGAAACGTGTGAGGGGTGTGCCAAAATGGGTGTGCGGGACGCATGCGGGCACACCCACTGGGACCTTCGGTGGGGCTCCCTATGGGGCCACGAAGCGTGTGAGGGGTGTGCCGAATGGGTGTGGCTGACGCATGCGGGCGCGGGCACTGGGGCCTTCGGCGGAGCTCCCTATGGGGCCCCGAAAAGTGTGAGAGGTGTGCCGACATGGGTGTGGCTGACGCATGCGGGCGCGGGCACTGGGGCCTTCGGTGGAGCTCCCTATGGAGCCACGAAGCGTGTGAGGGGTGGGCCGAAATGGGCGTGGCTGACGCATGCGGGCGCGGGCACTGGGGCCTTCGGTGGAGCTCCCTATGGAGCCACGGAACGCGTGAGGGGTGTGCCGAAATGGGTGTGGGTGACGCATGCGGGCGCGGGCACTGGGGCCTTCGGTGGAGCTCCCTATGGGGCCACGAAACGTGTGAGGGGTGTGCCGACATGGGTGTAGGTGACGCATGCGGGCGGCAGCACTGGGGCCTTCGGCGGAGCTTCTACTATGGGGCCACGAAACGTGTGAGGGGTGTGCCGATCTGTGTGTGGTGACGCATGCAAGCAGAAGCACTGGGGCCTCCGGCGGAGCTCCTATGGGGCCACGAAACGTGTGAGGGGTGTGCCGAATTGGATGTGGGTGACGCATGCGGGCGGCAGCGCTGGGGCCTTCGGTGGAGTTCCCTATGGAGCCACGAAACGTGTGAGGGGTGTGCCGAAATGGGTGTGGGTGACGCATGCTGGCGCGGGCACTGGGGCCTTCGATGGAGCTCCCTATGGAGCCACGAAACGTGTGAGGGGTGTGCCGAAATGGGTGTGGGTGACGCATGCGGGCGCGGGCACTGGGGCCTTCGGCGGACCTCCCTATGGAGCCACGAAGCGTGTGAGGGGTGTGCCGAAATGGGTGTGGGTGACGCATGCGGGCACGGGCACTGGGGCCTTCGGCGGAGCTCCCTATGGAGCCACGAAGCGTGTGAGGGGTGTGCCGAAATGGGTGTGGGTGACGCATGCGGGCGCGGGCACTGGGGCCTTCGGCGGAGCTCCCTATGGAGCCACGAAGCGTGTGAGGGGTGTGCCGAAATGGGTGTGGGTGACGCATGCGGGCGCGGGCACTGGGGCCTTCGGTGGAGCTCCCTATGGAGCCACGAAACGTGTGAGGGGTGTGCCGAAATGGGTGTGGGGACGCATGCGGGCGCGGGCACTGGGGCCTTCGGTGGAGCTCCCTATGGAGCCACGAAACGTGTGAGGGGTGTGCCGAAATGGGTGTGGGTGACGCATGCGGCGCGGGCACTGGGGCCTTCGGTGGAGCTCCCTATGGAGCCACGAAACGTGTGAGGGGTGTGCCGAAATGGGTGTGGGTGACGCATGCGGGCGCGGGCGCTGGGGCCTTCGGTGGAGCTCCCTATGGAGCCACGAAACGTGTGAGGGGTGTGCCGAAATGGGTGTGGGTGACGCATGCGGGCGCGGGCACTGGGGCCTTCGGTGGAGCTCCCTATGGGGCCACGAAACGTGTGAGGGGTGTGCCGAATTGGGTGTGGGTGACGCATGCGGGCGCGGGCAGCGGGAGGAGTGAACGCGGGGCGCTGTCTCTTCAAAACGAGGACCCAACACCACAGGATGGTTGGGAAACATAGTAAAACTATATAGTCTGGGGACGACTTTCTGAGCACGTTTTGGTCATCTTCTTTTTCTTCTTCTTCTTCGTCTTATTAGTATTCTTATTATCATTTTTTTTTTTTTTTTTTTTTTTTTTTTTTTTTTTTTCCGTCCAACATCCCCGTGTAGGGGGACAGGCCCGACTTAACTGTAGGAGGGCCTGTCCCTCTACAGGGGGAATCTTCAAAAATAATAGCCTGGGGACTTTTTTGGGGTATTTTTGGGCATCTTCTGAGCATTTTTGGAATATTTTTTATTGTTTCGTCCAAAATCCCCCTGTAGGGGGACAGGCCCGACCTGACTGTAGGAGGGCCCGACCGAACCCCAGGGCCTTAAGGACGTGACGCGGGGGAGCCGCGGGCGCCTTCCCGGGCCTCCCCGCACCGTGCCCCCTGGCGCTCGACGCGGCGCCTCGGAGCCTCGAGCGCCGAGGACCTCCTGCGGCCAACCCTCAGAGCAAGGCTGC